GCCAGCCCCGTCTAGGTCTAGACTTCGCTCGGCACTCTCGTTCCTTTGTTCTCGTCACGGCTGGCTACCTGGGCACTTGAGCTTGAGTCAACCAAACGGCCCTTGCTACCACGGCTTTTCGGTCCGCCCTCCTCGCCGCCCGCGTCCGAGAGCAGAAGTTGTCATCGAGGTAAACGCCAAGCTCGCCGAGGCCTCACTCAAAACCGCCAACTCATTAGATGCTCGTCTCCGGCGGGCGGCACGAGCAGGGGAGCAGGGTGGTGGTGGTGAGGTATGGACAATGTCGGGCTTATCACCCCCGCCGGCCGCTCCGCGCTCCCTGGAGTGGAACAGTCGTGAGGTCGCTGCTCTCTCGGCACGCTCCGAGCCTCCGGCGCCACCGTGATGCGATGCTGCCGCGCGGTACGGAACAGGAGCGCGATGTTGATGTCGCTGCAGCAGAAAGGATCGAGAGGGAAAGGGGGGGGGGGCTGATCGCCATAGAGTCGGGCTGGAATAGTAGCATCCAGCAGGAGTCAATAGGGCATGCCATGAAGTCGAGACTACGACTGGTATCATGGTCTCGCCGAAACTGGTGCTGCTGCATTTGGCGGTCCCCGGCCCGCTGGAGGGCACTCGCGGAACGACACGGCAAGCAGCGCGAGCAGCGCCCTACCCGACCCCGCGGGGCTCCGTTACCTCTCTGAGCGCCGCTCTCTAGCCGCGCTGAGCCCGGCCGGCCGTCCCATCCGGCGCGGCGCAGCGCGCAGCGGTCCCGTTGGGACTGGGGGGGCGGCCGGGCAGGCCGGGCCGGAGGGTACCGGAGGGGGCCCAACTTCGCGGTGTTGTTGCCAGAACCAGGCGGGCGATGGCACGGGGTGGCGGCCGTTTCGCGGACCGGTAGCTGCCCGGGCGGTTTGCGACGCGGAGTTGACAGTTTTGGGCCTGCTTCGGAGAGTCGGGGCGCAGGATGCCGTCGTCGTCAGGCTGGGGTCGGAGTACGTGAGCACCAGTTGAGCACCGTCGCGTCGCGTGACCCCCGCCGCCATCGTGGACCTGGTCCTGGCGATGAAGCCCCGCCACATCCGCCGCCTGGTGGTGGCGTTGGCGGTGTGCGGGGCGCTCCTGCTGGTCGCCTCCCTCGTCCTGGGACTGCTGGACAACGGCTTGCTGCAGGGCAAGAAGAGTACCCGCACCGAGGGCGACGACGACGACGCGCCGGCGCAGTTCGGCCCGGATGACCCCGGAGGCTTCCACCGCTTCCAGGACGAGCTCGTGCGCCGCAAGTCCGAGGAAGGACAGCGTCGACGTCAGGAAGAGGGCGCCGAGGACGCCGTCAACGTCTCGGAGAAGGAGGCAGCCAGTTTCATAGTGAGTTGCAAATTTTAGGTGCTCGCGCGTAAGATTTCACAAGCGCGCCTGATTATTGAGGCTTTGCATGCGTGCGCTAAGGTCGACCTGGAAGGCACATACTTGTATATTAGAAACGTTTTTCGTAAAGAAAGTACGTCCATTTTAGATAGTCCCCTAATTCCTCTGATTCATTCGGCAAATCACGGGAGCTCAGCGCCTGCGAGACTGGGGATAGGCCACCCCGCGGTGCACGCATGCGCTGTAGTCAAGTTGTTGCCTACCTAGCAGGCGCTATGAAAGCTTGCGTCGGCTGAACTAGTGGCCAGTAGGCTGAACTTGGCAGTTTGGCTCGGCGAATGACGGACGTACTTTCTGGACGATCACCAAGTCATGTGTTTCTCGACCAAATTGAGCATCGTATTTACATCCCACTCAAATAAGGCGACATGTCATGTCTGCATCGCCTTGCATTTCTCCCTCATGTTCTACTCGGAGCCAGTGCACGTAAAGCCGTTTTGTTTGCAGCGAGCAGCGAGCCGCTGGAACGAGCACCGCCTGCAGAGGGTCCAGGAGGTGTGCGCGCGCCACAACCTGGGGCTCTACCGCTCCTCCGCCGCCCCGCCCGACGTCAAGCTGCCTCCCACCCCGCAGTACGCCGTGTTCTACTACGATAGGTATGTGTGTCTCAGATCGTGTATTCCTAATCGTGTTTGGGAGCTCTTCTACACTACTGGTGAACTAACGCGGGGTTCCCTCTCTTCCCCCAGATCGCACAAGATGGCGTGGTGCCCCTTGTACAAGGCCGGTTCCACATCCTGGCTGTACAACCTGTGCCTGCTCGGCGGCTACTCGGAGAGGGAGCTGAGCTCCACCAAGGAGCAGCTCAGCACCCTGGCCAGGAAGGCGTACCCGGAGCTCGAATACCCCGAGGCTGAGGAGGTAGTACCATCTTGCTGCCTCCTCCCGTTCTACCTCTTGTGGGATGTGTGATCTTGTTTCTGACTCAGAGATTCTCTTCGACAGGCTCTCCGCAGCAGCCGGAAGCTCCTGGTGGTCCGCCATCCTTTTGCCAGGTTGCTCTCGGCGTACCGAGACAAGCTGGAGAATAGGGTGGCGGGGGCGGAGCACGGCAGCGCGCACTTCTACCGCAAGTACGGGCGCCGCATCGTGGACAAGTTCCGGGCGGGCGGCGCCGCGGTGCCGACGAGCCAGGTCGTGTCGCCGCAGCACGTGGTCAGGGACCCCGGCAGGCTGCCGCCCGCCGACGACGAGCCGACCTTCAAGGAGTTCGTCAAGTATCTGATCGACGTGGACCTGGCCAACTACGCCGACGACCACTGGATCCCGTACTACCTCTTCTGCACGCCCTGCCTCCTCAACTACGACATCATTGCCAAGGTGGAGACGTACCTGGAGGACCAGGTGTACATGATCAGGGCCCTGGGGCTCCAGGACAGCATACGCCCGCGGTGGAGGCACCGCACCGCCCCCCGAGGCCAGGAGGGTCTCCCGACGTCGTCCTCTCAGGACGTCGACACGACGGCCAGGCGATACTTTGCTCAGATAAGCGAGCGCGAGCTGCGCGCCCTCTACCAGAAGTACAAGCTTGACTTTGAGATGTTTGACTACACCCTAGAGGACTACCTGCCGTATGTGTCTCCAGAGCCAGCGTGATTGCCGGGCCGGGGCGGCCAGCCAACCGCCAACCAAATACACGATTAAGAGGTGCTGTTGTGACGCACCGGAAAACTGGAGTCTCAATGTTTGAACGACACCGGAGTCTGGTTGGACTTGATTTTGGCCTTCCACTCCAGACAGGGTTTTTGTGCACCACAAATTGCCTCCCTTTCAAGCGGCCTTTTGGCGTTCGGTTTCTGATCCTTTGGACTGTGAAAGTGGCCTTCCCCCTCCCTCCACCCACACTTCCCTCTCCTCCCCTCCAAAAAGCGAAACCTTAAATTAAAGTGAAATACAGAGTTGTGATAAACCTTTTGTATAATCTAATTCCTACACGACGTCATCAACGTGGAAACGTTAGCCGAGGCACACTTTC